GTGGGTGGGTGGGGAGTTTGCATAGGCACTTGTGTACGAGAAGGCTGCACGGTATCTTACACGCAATAAGGGTTGGATTGGAGGGCAAGCTCTGGAGGGTTCAGGGCAGTGCACAGGCATGGCGCTATCCGCGGTGGACACGTCCTTGCTCCCCACCTCTTACGTGCGCCATAATCTCGCCCCGCCCCAAGCCCCATCTAACACACACACACACACACACACAAACACAAACACTTGTGTGCACAACCACGGCAACACAACAAATTGTTTGGAAACATACTGCAGCGCGCAGCGCCCACCAGAGCGCCCACTCCTGCAGCGGGGCGTACTTGGCCGCGCTCCAGTGCAGCTGCCCGAGGCTCAGCGACTCTGCCCCCAGCCGCCGCAGGGAGCCGCGGCACGCGGCGACCATGTTGCCTGGCGTGACGCGCCAGGGGTATGCCGCGAGCTTGGTGGCGATGTGGATGTTGTCGCGCACGCGGTCAGAGCCCGGGTACTCTCTGGTTGAGTGGGGTTGTGGGGGCAGTGTGTTGTGGGGGCAGTGTGTTGTGGGGGTGTGTTGTGCGTGCAGTGGGGGGGCAAGAGGGGGGGGTGGTAAAGGAAACGAACACCAGGATTCGCGGGATGTGTGGTCTGTCTGTGAAGGGTAGATTCCAGGCCTGGAATATATCCTCAGGCTTCATGGGGGGCAGGTGAATGTGCCAGCACATTCGCTCGGATTGGCCGCAGCTACCAAGCAGGGAACGGCGGCGGCACCGCACACCCTGCAGTGGGGCATGCGTGGGCACGCACCTGGTGAACTGGCCGAGCAGCTGCTCTGACCGCCCGTTGAGCCGCCCCGTGCCGTAGCTGTCCGCGGTGTCGAAGAGATTGATGCCTTTGCTGACCACAAGGTCAAACACCTGGCAGGGGGTGGTCCGATTGAAAAAATTCAAAATTTGAGCACAGGACCCCCCGTCAGGCCCATCAGGCGCAGCAAGCAATTGCGCGGCAGAGTGTGAGCTGCGGCGCGGCGTGGCGGCGCGCGGTACACGCGTGGGTGTGTTCGCGTTGACCGGTCAAACGTCACGGGATCGCGCAGTGCGCACCTGCTGCAGCTCGGGGTCCATCTGTTCGCTGTAGTCAAACAAGAACCTGTTACCCCTGGCGATGCGCGTCCGCAATAGTGCAGGTGCGCGCGGCGGTGTTGAGAGGAGCTGCGCAACTGGCGCCGCCCGTGGTGGCATGCTTGCGCCACGCCAGGCGACGGTGCAGCGAGCGGCGCAGCCGCAGGCTGTTTTTGCAGCAGGGTCGCCAGGACAATCTTCCCCCTTACCCAGATGCCGTTAAGGCAATTTGAGCAAGGAGTTCAAGTGTAAACTGGTGCCTTACACTTCCGTCTTCCGCCACTCCTCACCAGCTCCACGTGCCCAGGCCCATCGGCGACACGTCCAGATCCCCGATCTTGAGCATCTCCCGCTTGCTGTACGCGGGCTTCTCCGCCAAGCCCGATGCCGCGGCACCGCCGCCGCCGCCAAGCTTCAGGTTGCCGAAAAACGCGCGACATTCGGCACCGCGGCGAGAGCGGTGTGGTTGCGCAGCGCGTCGCGACCGCGAGCGTGGTGCACAGGACGCCTGCGTACGGCCGCACTGTGGCCGCGTGTCCCGCAAGCTAGGTGGCATGCTACCCTGCATGACTCCACGCCTTCAAGTACTCTAGACGCCACAGTTCAAAAATGAGGCTTCGGAAGCGTCAAACGCGATGCCGGATCAGGAGCGGTCACAGATAAAACCCTTGGTCATTGGGATACCAGTGTGCTTCCATTCCATCGATGCTGCGCGTGTCTCCAGACGACGCCACGAGTGACCCGAGACTTAGTCACCACACGAAACCTGCACCGTGCGCTGTTGATGCCAATCGCGAAACGGTCTGCTTATCAGCAGACTCGAAAATATGATTGCCTCGACGCTCTTTCGTTCTCCACTGGTGATCTCGGGCCGGGCTTCGGGCCGCGTGAGCGCCCGGGGCCCTGCCGCGCTACCCACGATCCGATGCAGGTCATGCATGCCCCGCTCCAGTCACCTGAGCGGCACACGGCGGCGCCTTGTCGCCGCTGTCGCTGCGGAAGGCTCCGCCGCTCCCACAGAACGGGTCGCCCAGCTCACAGACGAGCTGCGTGTACTGGAGACCGAGCGCGATGAGGCCGTCAAGACAGGTGAGGGTTATTCACAATCAATGCGCAGGCCCAGAGGACACCATGTCCACAGGGGGCACAGAAGGGACGCGCTCGCCGCGTTGCCACGCGCGCACGCGTGGCGCCTGCACCCGCGCCTGCATGCATGCATGGCCGCGCCCGCGCCCCCATGCCCCCGCCGCGCTCGCATGGCCACATCAGCCCGGGTCCAGACGCGCTGCACACCGCATGCCCCCCGTCCGCCGTGCAGCCGAGTCGTGCGCGCGCACGTCTGTGCGGCTGGAGGAGATGATCCAACTGCTGGAGAGGCTTGCTCTGGAGAAGATCAAGGTGGGCTTGCATGACATCATGTGCGTGTGTGTGCACTCGACTATCTTTTGGTTCGAAGGTGTTTCTGGTGTGCGCGCGTGTGGTTGTCTGTGTCTTCTGAGGGAGGGGGGCGATGCCCGCTTGCGGCCGGTGGTCTCGTTAGAAGCGGTGGCGAGGGGACATGAAGTGTTTGGCTCCTGCAGTGGGCTGGCGGCTCCCCGCACCACCTCTGAAGCGCCGCGCTCGTCCAGCGACCGCACGCGCCGCCGCCGCCGCTGCCAACCACCACCACTTGAATACACCAGGACGGCGACGAGGAGGGGGCGCGCCAGGTGCTCACTGAGAAGGCGTCCACGCGCGAAATTCTGGAGCGCACCAACTCGCGCGCGCAGGTGGGCGATCGCACATGCTCGGCGGCGGCCTGCGGCGCAGCCTGCCATGGGGTGTGGCGCCCCCTCTGGGTCCCGCATGTACACTTAGAGATGCTTGCTGCCAGCTGTTTTGGTACACCGCAATTGAATGTGCCTGCCTGCACCGCCGCCGCCGGCCCCGATGCGCCGGTCTGCTGTCTGCAGCTGACGCCGCCTCGCTCTGCCAACGTCCATTTTTCTCATTTCAAACGACCTACGACCTCAGATTAATTACACCCTGGCTTCCAAGCTGGCTGACAAGATCGGCAGCGTCCAGCAGCGCCTGGTGGAGCAGCTGGGGGGCGCTTCCACAGGGGGGAGCACCGCCCAGCCGCCGCGGCAGCAGCAGCAGCAGCAGCAGCCGTCCCTGCAGGAGGAGCGGCGGCCCGCGCAGGCGGCCGGAGGGGACGTCAGCAGCAGCGGCGGCGGCGGCGATTTCGCGTCGTCGTACGCGCCGCGACGCCCCGCCTGGGAGTCTAGCCTGGAGGAGGCGCGCGCCAGGATCAAGCAGGCCGAGGAGGCCGCCGCCGCCGAGGGCCGCCGCACGGCCTGGCAGGCGCGGGAGACTATAGAGGAGGCGCGGGAGCGGCTGCGGCGGCAGGCCGTCGACAGCGTGAGTGAGGCGCAGCTGCGGGTGCGGTCGCGGGCGACAGAGAGCATCGCGGAGGCCAGGGCGCGGATCGCCCAAGAGGATGCGGCGGTGTTGGCCAAGGTGACCAATGGGGTGGTGCTGCCAGAGGGTGCCATGTGTGCACGTGGGCGCAAGTGGAGCTTGCCGGCCCCACGCTTGCTGAGGCACACCAGGGCTGTGGGGACGGCGCCGCTGAAAACGGCGTCGATGGTGCAGCGGGAGGGATGCAGGACGCCCAAACGGGCCTCTGCTTGAGCGCCGGCCCGCCTTGACGCGCGGCCTTGCCCTTCCAAACCGGGTGCTGACGCGCCGCACGTGTAGGCGGAGCCTTGCAGCCGCCCTTGCGCTCCACGGTGCATGTGCTCAACACGTGCGACCCTCGGCATCGCAGGTGCAGGCGCTGATGGCGCGCTACAAGCGGGGGGAGTACGTCACAGAGGACGAGCTGGAGTGGGCGTTCAGGCGCGTGCTGCCGCGTTGTCAGCTACTTGGAGCTCTTGGGGCCTTTCCAGGGGGTTGCGCTGACCTGCCGCAGCGGGGGCGGGCTGCTTGAAACTGACAGGGTGCCATTCGCCGGTCAAAGCAACGTGTCAAAGCAGCATGCTTGCGAATGCATGGGCGCAAGTTTGCAGCGTGGTGAGTGCTGTCGCGCGCTGCGGCCCCAGCTTACGGCTCACGATTCGCGACCCTCGCGCACGCCCCCCCCCCCCCCCC